CATATTTTATTAAATATGTTCTATTTTGTTTTAATTTTATTGTATGCTGCCATTGGTCTTATGGAATTGGCAGAATAAAATCTAAATCAATTTGGGACTTTATTATCATTTGAACTATTTTTGTTCAGCAATAACTTTTCCCCCTTATTTGAAATATATATAAATTTGTACTATGCACACCACACATTTGGGCTCCTCATTCCTGCTTTTGCCTTGTGACAAGAACATATGAGCATTCTCACAGAAGTATGAATGAAGAATTGGCAGGGATAAGTTCATTTCTAAAAAAGCAGGAAAAGAATTACTACCGTTTTCTGCTGTTGTATGGCTTTTTATGAGAACCTAGTTGGTCACCATGGAAATCAAGATCCTGGACTGGTTTTGCCCAATCTAGCAAGATCCTTATGTTCTTACAGTAAATTTATTATTGATTTCCTGGATGAAAAAAAGACTGCTGTCAGGAACATTAGCTTAGCTAGTGGCAACAGCTGGCAACTAATGATAGGTTATTCAGAATTCTCTAATTATCCTGAGTTTGTGTGAACTGCTTTAGCACCATTGGGAACTCATTTTGTATGAGTCTAGATCGTTGAACAAATGAATGCAATCATATTTCAATATTATAATAAGCTGTAAATTTACAGTGGAAAGGATCCAATGAGTCATTGAGTACAGCCTGTTGACCTGAGGATATTTTCCTCATTGCTCTGGGACTCTTTATCAGAGAAAAGCAAGATTTTAAAAGTGTAAATAATTCATTTAGCAAGAGAGATTTCTAGCATGAGTCTACGGGGCTAGTTTAGTGCTACATGCTAATCAATAATCATTTGATGTGATCATCTTTCTGGGTTCTAAAACAAGGCATCATATTTACTCAGTGCATCTCTTGATTTTTTCCCTAATCTTTCTGTGAACCCTCTCTATCTGAAACTGTATTACTTACCCAGTATAGGTAATTTTATTGCAAGAGTGATTGCATTGAAAGAGCATTCTTAAAGATTAATTTGATGCTGTCTTGAAAGACACTTGACACAGTCATGTAAATAATAGCATTATATCAATTCTAACAGAACCCTACCTTTACTTTTGTTATCCTGTTTCCCTGAAAATAAGACATCCCCTGATAATAAGCCCAATCGGGCTTTTGAGCACATGCGCTAAAATAAGCCTCCCCCCGAAAATAAGCCCTCCCCAAAAATATTTAAACACAGAGCTGGAAATCAGGTAAGACAGCATCTTGCTCCACATGCCCCCAAATAATAAGACCTCTCCTAAAATAAGGCCAAGCACTTATTTCACAGTTCAAAAAAAATATAAGACAGGGTCTTATTTTGGGGAAAACATGGTACATAAAACATTGAGATCCGATGCAAGACCATTTTATATAACGTGAATGTAGTGGAAATTTCTCCAGTTATTAAGATTCCAACACAAGACATTTTAAAAGAAAGAGATTTTTACCTTTTCTCAAGTTCACTTTAGAAAGCCTTTTCCTCCTTTGGTCATATTAAAAAAATCAATTGGAAAACCTTTTTAATTAACCCATATCTTGAATTGTTGATAAATAGAAATGTTTATTTTTTTTAATTTTGATCAATCCTTCAATACACAGCCAATTTAGAAATATAATTACTGAACAAAAATATTTTCCATGATAAATACTTCGTACAGCAGAAGAACCTGGGAAAATATTAACTCAATCTGTTTTTCCCCTTTTTTTCTAGCATGCCAAATATAAATTTAGAACATTATTTTGCTTTCTCAACCTCAAGTGTATTTGTCTTATATAACATAAAGAGCTGCATTGCCAGCTTCTTTGACCACCCGGCAAATAATAGCATATGACTATAGGGCAATTTTCTCCAACCTGATGTTTTGCAGGTATTGTATATTAACCATGCTGTTTGTTAATTATGGGAATTGTGGTCCAACAATATAAAGGACAACTGGTAGGGAAAAGTTTTCCTACACCCAATTATGTCATAGGCATCCACAGTAGCTAAGTTTCATCAAAATGACAGCACAAGCATTCTGACATCATGACGCATGTTCCACATTATATGCTTGTGGTGACATACTCCAAGTATGTAAGAGGCACAGCATCAGCCATTGCATACATTACATCATTTTCTCCCTTCCCCCATCCCCACTGACATCAGAGAGGAATATATCAATCTTTGAAACATCCAAGCAAAAAGAATGCTAGGAGAGAATAACAGAGCCAAGTCTATCCACTTGACTATAGGACTAGGTTTCCATCTTAAGTCTAGCGGGATTTAGAAGCTCATGTGATGTAAAATCAAAACATTATTTTTCTCCAAATAATATGTTTTGTTACATATTTGAAATAATATGAGGAGGTCATGACATTGGGTATTTCCCCAAAAAATAAATACTTGTAGATAATGCCAATGATAGTTTATCTAAAATTAAATCCTAATCCCTTAGTTCCTTAAATATTCTCGTTACACATTTCACAAGAGTGGGTTCTCAGTTTAAGGACTAGGTAGGACATAAATAGCCAATACAGATGCATATGGATGTACATTCATGGTGTAAATACATAATTCTTTGCATTTTACAGAAGACCATCTCTAGCAATGCCCTACATATGTTATCGCAGGACAATTCCATAAGCTTGCCTCAAGTTAAGTTGATCTCCTCCACAAAATTCTATTGGTTTGACCCTCCTTGCTAAGGATTTGGGCATTTGCAATAAGATTGAATAATATGTGTACCAATAGCTAGATGACATTAACAAGACCAAATGACTATGGGATATTTAGAGCAATAGATGCACAGTAGTTAGGTGCAGATCTGCAAAGATAAGAGTCTTCCTCATGCAACTTATATCTCCCACCTGGCCCCACCCACCCACCCACCCACCCCACACACATAATAAACAGCACCATTTCATTGCCATGAAAACATTCAACTGTCCCTGGGCTCTTCCATGGCAATAACATTCTTCTTTTGCTTCTCCATCTCCCACCTGTGCTAAGATAAAGGAAGAGAAAAATGGAAGCTACCACACCCTGTTGTCCATATATATTCCTGAGTGAACTAATGGAGAATGAATGAGGATCCAAGCAGAAAGCGAGAGAAAACAAAACACAAATGGTAATAACACTTTGGGGGCCACCAAAAACCAACGACTTTTTGAATCACTACTGCAGAACTCAAAATGCTGCCCACTTTTTTTCTTTCTGAGCCATGCGCCATTGAAACATTGCTCTCTTGCACATACTCTTGTGTACATTCCGCCGAATTCCTGCCCAAACCACCCTTGCAAGAGATATCCTATAGGAGAGTTAGTCCACATTATAGAAATCACCTGACAAACTGAGCTTGACTTTTTTCCAGGTGCATATTAAAGGAAAAAAATGCTTAAGAATGCTTGTTAAGGATTTGAATGAAATGTATGTCTCCATTTATTGCAGAGACCTGCTCACTGACTCATCTACCAATCACCCATGCATGATTTAATCACCAAAATGTATGTGACTATGTATGTGAATAAGGTTGGTGAAAAATGTAAACCAGTAACATCTAAACCATTCGATTTTATCAACTTTTATGAAGTTGACTTGTATGGAATTTGGCACACTTTATCTTGGCCCTTTATTTACATTGACATATGCTAATAAAGGAATTAAATGTCCTCATCTCTTTATGATGAATTTTTGTCCTACATATTTTTTTCCAGTTTGGTTCATTGTATAAATTGCATATACTTAAGTACTTCCACCCAAATGCATGTATGGATGCAAAGTAGCAATGTGTGTTCTTAGAGAAACAGAGCAGCCACGTATTCAAATCGAAATGCATATTTCCATAATATTTTGCAAATACAAAACAAATGCAAACATACAACTGAAAAGTTGAAACAAAGGAATACATTTACAGACGCACAGTGAAAATAGCAAATACATCAGAAAATACATACATGATTCCAAAAAAAGGGGGAGGAAAGTACACAAATATTCAGGCATCATTTACAGAGTCAGAAATCCTGCCAGTATTGAAAATAGAACATAAAGGATTATGTTCTCTAGCCTTATAAAGATGCATTATAAAGAATGAAATACATATAATCCCAAACACTGTCTTCCTAAAGCTGTACATAGCTCTTGATCAGCTTCCAAGAAATTTAATCAAATAAAGTGACTTTGTACTTGCTTCACTGAGAGTAAATAATATTGTAATGCAAACTCACACATATTCTTATGCACACAGATATAGGCTTGGACAAACACATGTGCAAACTAACAGTACAACAGAAGCTTGTGTAATTGTGCATGCAAAAACATGGCTAGAAATATACAAAATTAAACATAGACCCATCTGTTTGTTGCAATGTTGCAGCACCCAAATAGCACGCTCTCTTGCACTGACTTGGGTGCTTTTATCCAGAGATTTCAAGGTGGCTGTATCATTATCTCACAAGAAGTAAGTTTAAAAAAAAAAAAAAAAGCAATGAGACGGGGGTTGACCGTTCCCAGGGAAGAGAGTGCCATCCTTGGGAAGTTGCTCTTGCTAGGCTAATGAAGCATAAACTTCTCCCGAATTCACAACATGACAGAATTGTTATACAGGAGCATAGATCCCTTGTCCTCTCTGGCTGGGATAGCTCAGAACTACCGGCTGAACCAACAAGCATTCCAATGAGAGAACAGTGTCAGCAAGCAGTTGTAACCTTCCCATGCTTATTTCTACTGCCTTAATTTTAACAGCAGGCTGGTAATGTTTGCCAATTCCCTGATTTTTTTTTCCTCTCCTAGTGCATTCTTTCTGCTCTCTTTAGTGCCTGCATCTCCCTGCTTTCCTATGAGTTTGTGGTTGTTGTTCACCACATTGCCTTGTCTTTTTGCCTTGAGATACAAGCTGCACTTATTCTGATCAAGGCTTCTAACCACCCCCATTTCTGCACAACCCAACATTTCCTATTAGATTAAACACAGTTGCTGTTGTTTTTTCCCCCAGATCTTTCTCAAACTTACTTCCCCAGCTCTTCGAAGAGCTGATATTCTTCTGTAAACCGGTTGCAGGTGATGGTTGCCATCCTGGATGGTGACTGTCTCTCCTGGCGTGAAGTTTAACACTAGCACCGTTGCTGCTTTGAGCACACACGCTCTCCTTTTGCTCTTTGCTCCTAGTGCTGTTTGCCTCTCGGAGGTAAATAAGTGAATATGTATGATTGACAAGCCTGGAGATAATGATGAGGGCAATTTGTCTTCTCAGTCTCCCAAGCCTTCGTCAGCATCCAGTTCTCCATAGCAACCACCTCCGGAACGCCCTGGTTCTGTTGCCCGGGTAACTACTTCCCAAACACCTGCTTTGCTTGCCGCTTCTGCAGCTCTCTTACGCCCTGAGTCTGTGAGTGGGGAAGCTGCATTTTGAGATGGACAAGAGGTGGCTTGAAGGAAAAAGCTTTTGCAAACAAAAAGCCAACAAAAGTCAATATTAAAATACAATTAGATCACACAAGTAAGAATTAATTAGGTCAAAAAGATCACTATGGAAACTGCAGTTTCCACATTACAGGACGGTATTCGGAAAGACAGGATGTTGTTGCCCTGGTAACTGCATCTTTTACTCCGGAAAGACAGGTGTTGCTGGGTTGCCTGGCAACTATTCTATTCCTTCAGTCACAGCTTCTTAGGAAAGATGGGCTAAGGGCTGCTTCTTTAGCTTCGTTTTGGTATAACTTAGGGTAATTAGAACTAAATTCTTTTAAAGGTCTTCTAGTGATTCTGTGGTTTGGGAATAAATGAAATGTAGCAGAAAGTTTCAGTGTTTCTCAAAATCCAATAGGGGGAGCATCTAAAACTAAAGTTGATTTAGACTCTGAAAAATCTTCTGGAACGCAGCTACTGAGCTTTATTCCCAATGGAGTATCTGGCCCAGATTTCTTGCACTTTCTGTTTTGGCACTTGTTTTGTTTTTGAATCACTCCATGTGAAAGAGTTCATGATGCACTTGTTAGTTATAGGCAGCTGCTATTACGGAAAAGAACCCAGATGGAAAGACATACTGTCTAGCAGACATCAGTCCCTAAATGGGAGTGATTGTGGATTATGGCTTAGTTAAGGACCCTGAATAGTATGCAACACATCGATAGTCTGACATTAACCTTAAAATCTTGCCTCAAAACAGTTCGGAATGGAATGATAGAAACTATTAACAGATTAAGCCTAGCTTTAATAATGCTGTGTAGGGAAAATTATTATACATGCTTAAATATTCCTCATTTTTCTAAGAATGAAGGGAATTCTGCCAAGTTGGATGGAAAATGCTTATGGTACTTATTCTTTGTTTTTACATTTTTCTAACGTTCTTGTTAGGGTTTATGTTGTTCTTTCACCATAATTATGAAGACACATAAAAAGAAAATAAATCTGAGACTATTTCATTTCTTGCAGTTGCACACAAGTACTATTACTTCTATTATGAAGTACATTAAGGTGGTTTGGTTATAGACAGAGACCGAATGAGGACTGAATCACAACTAAATATAGGAAGGAAGAGTCAGTGGGACAGAAGAAGGAGAAGAACAGAATTTTATGGCTGGATAGACTTGATGAGGACTTCAAAAAAAAAAACCTGATAAAAAGCTGGTCCCTTATACAACAATGCAAACATAGAAAGTTTTGGAGAGGTATGAGCCAAGGTGGCACAGTGGTTGGAGTGCAGTATTGTAGGCTGACTCTACCCACTGCTATGAGTTTGATCCTGACTGCCTCAAGGTTGCCTCAGTATTTCATCCTTCTGAAGCCAGTAAAATGAGGGCCCAGATTGTTGGGAGCAATATGCTGACTCTGGAAACCACTCAGAAAGTGTGGTAAAGCACTATGGCGACATGTATACAAGTCTTAAGTGTTATTTCTATAATGAATATACACACAAATACATGCTCATTGTTTTATTTAAGGGAGTAAAATGAGGAGTGCTGAAAAAATAACAAGTGCTGAAAAAATAACAAGTGCTGAAAAATATAAAAATGCAATTACAAGAAGATAAATTCTACATATACACCCTTCTCATGCACATATGGATGCAAATATGTGAGATATTTCACATAATAGTTTCATTCAAGAAAAACATCTTTCACTGTAATTGTCCATGCATAATCTTTGTCTATAGAAGTCTCTATAAATCTCTAGAAAGTTTTTTTTTTCCTGGTGAAACCAGTCTATCAGGGCAACCTGGTCTACCCAATTATGGGATGCTTCCACTTTCGCCTTTCAGCCCCAATCCAGGAGCCTTCGCAGGCAGTCGCTTTCATGACAAATTATTTTTGTGCTGAATTTATGTTTTACCAACAAAGAAATTGTTAAATTGTTGCAATATATACTGAGGCAACTCACGATTGTAACTGTAACTCTTTATTGCTTCACCATGTAACTGTAACTGTAACGGCTCAGCTAGAAATGGCAGTTGACAGCTCTTATATATGAACAGCTCAACCGCTCCAGCCAATGGCTAACAAAGAATCTCCCGTGACGCATGACGTCATCGGTTTCATCCAATAACAACACTACAACTATAACTAAACCCTGCTAGACATAACAGAAATAAAGGGAGATTAGATCTATTTCAAGCTATTTAGCTCTCATCAGCTAGCCATATCCTTCTGGGATTCAAACTCAGGCTACTTGCATATTATATAGCTATATTAACCTCTAAGCCATGGGCTCTCCTCACTTTGTTGGCCATACCAGGGGAGAGATTAAGTGTTTTTCCCAGTGAGACCAGTCTAGCAGGGCAACCTGGTCTACCCAATTATGGGACAGAGCATACTATAGAAATCTCATTGATAGAATGAAAGTAGCATCATATCGTTGACCCAATGAATCATTTGAGTCATATATTTGTTTTCCAATGTTGAAGAGCTAATATTTTAGCAATAAGACAAATTTTGTTGTCCAGTTGTACCTATTCCCAACCCACTGGGAAGGCCACTTCCTTCTGTCTTTTCCTGCTATACATAAAAAGTGGCATTTGATACTTTTGGTGGTACACACCATGCTGATTCACCTACCTTTGATTTCATTGTGGCAAATACTTTTGTGCCAATTCGCTTCTGTGCTCTGTGGCAGGAACAACCCTCTTCCCTATGGTTACTGGTCACTGCTCCCATGGTGAAAGATTGCAATGGGGAGGGGGATTCCTTCTTTTTACAGATTCAGCTGTGACACAATGCCACAGTGAAATAGAAACCTTTAAAATCAGGCAAAATTGATAATCCTTCTACTACTTTCCCCTTTTAGACAGAAAAATTGTACAATTATGAACATTTCCTTCCTATCCTAATGGTACCAGAAAGAAAGACATCAAGTAAAAGAGGGAGTGAAAATCCAGCGGTTCAACCAAGTTGTCTAACAGTGGGGATTGCATGTTCTCAAAGACCCACTCAGGAACAGAAAGCATTAGGTGCTGCATTTCCCTGAAATGGAAGGGATAAATAGAAGAGGAATTTACCTATCAAGATACATCTTAATGGTCAAAGCAGAGGAAAGTATTAACATTTGAAAAGGGATGCCTTAAAGTGATTTCATTTCTAGTCGGTTCACACCCAGAAGAGCAAAATATGTAATGCTACATTGCAGAAAAGCCCTACATCATATATTCCATATAAACCCTGCATTGTAATAGGTGCAAAAATCGATACCACGAACATTAATATTTTCAAAACAAGATTTTACCTGTTATGGATACATTGATAAACTTGAAACTTATAAATAATGACTTTGTGATGAATGGTGGGCTGAAGATATCTCTGGAAAGATGGAGCTGAAAATTGTGGCTAAGAACAGGGAACTGACAAGCAGATCAGCTCCTTTGATCCTTCTGGACAAAGAAAGGATGTGAGATTCTCAGGTTGCACTCCATATACTTGTTTCTCACAAGGAGACTTCAAGGCAGCAGTCACTGGAGGGTGGGAGACCACATAGCTGAAGGAATTTGCTATACCTTCTCCAGCTGCAATTGGAGCCTTCAAAGGACTCCTTACTTACTTCCTTTGCTAATCACTTTTGGAAATTGCATATGGCTACTTTAAAGATGTACACATTTAAAACGGCAAAGCTAGAACACCAGGGGACTACCTTCCATCCTTAATATAACAAAATGAAACTTTGTTTATAAGTTCTAAGAATTCAAAATAAACAGCAAAAGTGAGACAAGGTTTTGGCTATAGAAAGTTTTAAACAGATTAATAGCTCTGTAAACATATGGACATTGGACTTGGAGTATTCAGACTTCAAAATTAATTATAAAGATGAAATATATTTTTGTTGGAAAGAAAAATTATTTTTAATATTGGAGACATAACACGATAACTTGTAATGGCATTCAGAGACATTTTTGAGGAATTGCATCGGTTCTTGAATCATTGATGTCAGCTGTGTTGTCTCTTCTTAGGAACAGTCTATTCCCAGATAAAGCTGTTATAGAAAAGGATGTGCAACAAAATCTATCTGAGAATGTGAATTTGTCTTTAACGTACAAAAAAAAAATCAGGCTTTTAGAATTAAGGAAATAAGAACGCCAATCTCAAAGAATAATTGGAATAATTTCTTCTTCCTAGACATACAAAAGAGGCATTTTAAAATTTAGCAGAAATTTGAGATAAAGATAAACAATTATTTGAATGGATTAAAGAGCAAGATGGTTTTACCCAAAAGAAAGGAACGCAAAGCTGGTTCATTCGATCTGAACTAAAATGGAAAGCGTTACTTTGGATGGTTCTTTTTGGACTTGGTGACATCTGAATTGGAAAAATGTTTTGTATTGGATTTATTTACAGTTAACATGGTTTTTTCCTCACAGTCACTTTATATATCCCAATCTGACAGCATCTAAATTGCTTTAGCATCTAATTGTCTTTTCACTTAAATAAAGGTACTTTGTGAACTTTCTGTCTTTGACGGAGATATTTCCCCCCTTACCATGTTATGCTTCAGCCTTTTGTTTATACGAAAATACTGGGGCCACTTTATGCCTTTTAAATCTGGGTTTGCTTACAGTTAACAGTTGAGCGATGGAATGATGAGTTTTACATTTGTTAATTAATGTTATTATTTTAAGGCTCTGCTTGGACTTTGCTAATACCTGGACTGGAGGAGATGATGAAAAGATAATGAAATTATTTATACTTGTCATGATAAAGTGTAGTCACTTTCTTAGGTTTTTTTTTCCTCTTTCTCTTTTTTTTTTTTTTGTTTACTTGCATCTTTTATTTGCTCTATTTTTTCTTTCTTATTAAATTTGTATCATATTTTACTATTGTAATGAAAACTTTTAATACAATTATTTTTTTAAAAAAAGATAAACTTGACACTTTTGTGATAGTATCTGTTAAATTCTGTTTAAAATAGTCAAA